TTTAAATTTTAATGTATCATCATGAGATGCATTTACAGACTTACAAACTTTCATGATTACATTTCAGTCAAACAATGTTCAAGTGCCCATCCCTCCACCGGTTCCCATTCTCCACCCACAATGCTCCCAGTATCCCTCCCCATACCCCCACCTCTTCCCACCTCCTGCCTCTGTGGCAGGCACAATCCCTATTACTCTCTCTGTCCTTTTGAGTGTTAGGGTTTACAATACAGGTAACAAGCAGCCATCATATTTGGTTCATAGTCTACTTTCATCATGCATCTACTATTCCAAGCAATCCCTCCAACCCTCATTTATTTAGTGCTCCTCTCTCCATCCTAGCTACCTTTTCCCCCAGCTCATGAGATCGGCTATCAAGCTGTGGGGCAGCCCTCCTGACCCATATTTTAACTGTCCTTAGGTGTTAGTTTCCTATGATGTTACTTTATATTCCACAAAGAGAGGGATATGCTTTTTATGTAGATGAGAATAAAGATAGGTAGACAATAAAATAAATTTTGGAAAAATTAAAAACATAATTCTTTAAAGAATGTCAGCTTAAGTTTATCTGAAGTTATTCTTTTGATTAAAGTTAGACATTTTTAGCAAGAATTGATATTTTATTCCCCAACCACTCTTACACACACAAACACACATACACACACACACACACACACACCCCTTTCACCTCAGTGTTGTGGGAGGAATTTACTCCCTACTGGTCTGAAGGTGTCTGAACACCTAACACTCAAGACTAGGCAGAATTTCTGCAAAACAGTTTATTAGCAACATTTGCTCATAGTCAGGGATAGTCATCCCAATATAGAGTCTCTCAGCATTTCACTCTGGAGAAAGTTGAGCAAGCAGGGACTGGGGAGGGAAGGTAGTTTTTAAAATGAAAAAGAAGATGAAATGACATTATCCTCACAAGTAATTGACTTGTTTCTATAACTTGGAGGGTTATAGAATAGGAAATTGAAGCCTGCTGTTCAGGTAGAAACAATCACTGTACCTCATACCTATAATCAGAAGGGTTCTTTGACTAGTGGATTATACTTGTGGGAGAACAATAAGAAGGGAATTTGTGCTTAGGCCATTTGAGGCCTCCTGCTTTCTCTAGAGGACAGGCATACCAAAATTATTGCCTAATGGTAACTTTTTCTTTTCCTCACTGCTTTCACATTTAATTATTCATTGAAATTCTCCTAAAGACCTATCCTTCTTACCTACCTTTCTGTACATTTTAAAGTCGTTTATAATATTAGTATGAAATTCACTTCTTAAATCAATTTATAAATTATATCATATCAGCTCATGCTCTTCCACAGCTTTGAATTGGAATCAAATTATAAAACCATTTTATTTGTTGAATTGTTCTAACTTTGGTCATTGAAATCTCCTTTGATTTCTTTTGAATATTTTTCCTATATGACTCTAATCTTTTTTTTCTACACTCCTCCCCTTATTCGCACTCTGAGATAATCACATTCTTTTTTCCCTCACTCCTTCCATGTGATTACATTATGCATTTGTATTTCAGATTAGTTTTATTGTTTGTGATTGCATTTAAGTAGTTATCTTTCCATTCTGGTTGATATTAGTTGGTTATTAAAATTTGTTTTCTTGGGTCCTTTGGTGCTAGTTAGGGAGGAAATGGTGTACACCAAGACAAAAAATGTAAACACATTGTAGACACTACTGTAAACATAGTGCCTTATGTATAATAAATTGAAAATTAATGAAATAAAATAAATTTTGGGTATGTGAAGCATTCTTATGATTTAAAGACTCAGGGACAGCCACTCCCCAATTTATAATATTCAATTCTGAGAAGTGTTCCTCTTACTGTCCTACTTTTACTATGCTGATTCCTCACTTCTTTCCATTCCTCTTTCACCATTTACCTCCAGAAGATAACCAAAGTTTTCAGTCTGATTAAACTCTGCTGCATTTATTTTTTAATGAAAAGCTTTTATATATGATTTATATATGATTCCTTAATTTACTTGTTTTATAAATAAGAATAAAATTTAATTATATACAAAATACCTTATAATTAATTATATACAAAGCACCTATCTTCCTATTTCACCTAACAGAACTTCAAGAAATGTCTTCTTTTATTTTTTAACATTGCTAGTACATACAAATATATTTTTATTCCTATTAAAGTTGTGGCAAAGTACACAAAACATAAAATATACCTGCTTATCCATTTTTTGTTGTTGAACAGTTTGGTAATTAGATGCATTCAAAATGTTGCAAAATTATTTCTACCATCCATCTTCAGAACGCTCACCTCCTTAAGAAATATGAAGACAGATTTTTAGAATAGTTTAAGGTTCAGAGCAACAATCAAAGGAAAGTACTATAACCATTACCTATTTATCTTACACATGTATAACCTCACTGTTATTTTATATTCCCACTTTCTCTACATGTTATACAGGCTTCATCAGTATCAGTTTTTCTCATCACAGTGATGCAAGTGTTTCCATTTATTAACTTACTTTGATATATCAAAATTATCACAGTATATAATTTATATGTTTTATGATTATTGCATATTTTCTATGTATAAATATAATATGATGAGTATCAATCATTGTATCATACAGAGTATTTTCACTTGTCAAAAATTCCTCTATCCTGTACCTATTCATACCTTTCTCCTCATTCCCTAGATATCACTAATATTTTTACTCTTTGCATAGTTTTGCTTTTTCCAAAGATTTGTGTAGTTGGATGTAGTACAGCCTTTTCAGACTGGCTTCTTTCAGTAGATCATGTGACTTTAAGTTTGCTTCCTATTTTTTTCATGACTTGGTAGTTTGTTTTTTTCTTTTTTTTGTAGGAGTACTGCTATTTGTTCAGCCACTGATTAGCTGATTGAATTGAGCATGAACTCCACCTTACTTTTTTTTTCATTTTTTATAATTTTATTTATTGAATCACTGTGAAAGCAGTTACAAAGCTTTTGGGTCTAAGTCTCGGTCATACAAAGAAACACCCATACCTTCACCAGTGCCCATTCTCCACCACCAAAAACCCCAGTATACCTCCATCCCACACCCTCCCACTACCTGTGGGGCAGATGATTTCCACATTACTCTCTCTCTATTTTGATCACATTCAATATTTCGACACCAGACCCACCATTATTATTTGAGATTTTACCCCAACACTCAGATCTGCTGAAAAGGCAACAATAGACAACTTGTGTTCTATTGCTGGTTATGAATAACATATGATGTCGCGTGGCTGCAATAGGGCCATGTGGTTTTGAAATTATGAAATTTCAACACTAAAATCTGCAGGGATTTCTGCCAAAAGCCACTGGGTTTCGAGATCTGCTCCTGATTCTCTAGGATCATGGCCGTTGAGCAGCTTGATGAGGAGCCAGAGAGGCCGTTCGTGGGCGATGACGTGGGGTCTCGTTGGAGTGGGGAGGAAAGGCCCGGCTCCACCCCATCCCGTGAGGCCCAACAAGTTTCATCACTGCGGGCCCAAGCCTGACTGTCCAGTGGCCTCTGGAGGATGACGGCCACAGAGCCGCCAGAAGGAAACAGGCGGAGGGACAGCACCCTTTCCCCCCCTGGGGTGGCCCGGCCACAGTAACCTACTGTGGGGTCCGGACACATTTCTGCCAAAAGCCGCTGGGTTTCGAGATTTGTTTCTGAATCTCTGGGATCAAGGCCGTTAAGCAGCTTCATCAGGAGCCAGAGAGGCTGTTCGTGGGCAATGACTTGGGGTCTCATTGGGGTGGGGAGGACAGGCCCGGCTCCCCCGCCATACCATGAGGCCCAACAAGTTTTGTCACTGCTGGCCCAAACCTGACTTCCAATGGCCTCTGGAGGATGATGGCCACCAAGCCGCCACGGGGGAGCAGGCGGAGGGACAACATCCTTTCCTCCCTGGGGTGGCCCAGCGACAGTAACCTACAGTGGGGTCCGGACGCATTTCTGCCAAAAGTCACTGGGTTTTGAGATTTGTTTCTCAGTCTTGGGTTCATGCCCATTAAGCAGCTTGATCAGGAGCCAGAGAGGCCATTCGTGGGCGATGACTTGGGGTCTCGTTGGGGTGGGGAGGACAAGCCCGGCTCCACCCCCATCCCGTAAGGCCCTGTGTGTCTCGTCACTGGGGGCCCAAATGTGACTATCCAGTGGCCTTTGAAGTATGGCAGCCACTGGGACGCCAGGGGGAACAGGCCAAAGCACAAAATCTATTCCCACCTGGGTTGGCCCAGCACTGATAGCCTACTGCAGGGACCGGACACATTTCTATCTAAAGCCGCTGGGTTCTGAGATTCGTTTCTGAGTCTCCGGGGTCATGGCCATTCAGCAGTTCCATCAGGAACCAAAGAGGCCTTGCCTCCAATTATATAGCTGAGCCGGAGGTGGTTTGTGAGTGTTTCCCACATACCTAACTTTTGGCCATTTACTTTCTTGGTAAACTTTGCCACAAGTTTTTGGGGTCTGGCCAAAGGCACAGCAGCAATTTTGGGATATCTTGAAGTCTGAAGGCGCCATGAGACTGCTGATGCACTGGCCTCACAGGTACAGATTGACCTGCTGGCGGCACCATACCCCCGTAGTTTGTCTTTTTCTGACCTGAGTAATATTCCATTGTCTGGATGTGCTCCAGTTTTTTCATTCATCTACTCTAAAGGACATCAGAGTTATGTCTCTTGTTTCAACAATTATGAAAAAAACTTTTCTAGATATTTGGGTTTAGCATTTTGTATGGGCGTAAATTTTAGCTCTTCTGGGAAAATACCAAAGATGACAATTAGTAGAACACATGGAAAAAGTATGCTCACTATCATTGTCATAGTGGTCCCTTCTGTATCCTAAGTGCCCTACCCACACCCTTCCACTTATGGCAAGTTTCCGTCCATGGAATGGTCCTCTTGGTCCTTGTTTCTACTTTTTATGGGTATTAGTTTCATATTATGTGTTTTCTCCTGAGAACTAATTGGGCTTCATCCTTTCTCTCTTTCTCTCACTCTCTCTCTCTTTCTCTCTCTCCCCTGAGGGAAGAGAAGAACAATCATCATGGTAAAAGGCAGTTTCAAAAGCAACACCTAGAGAGCAGTTTCATGCCTAGAAGAGGATGCTCTGGCTCCTTCTCCTGGTTTGCGGTGCTCTTATGATCAGAGAAACTACTCTAGTGATGAACTATGGAAATGATCCCTGAAAGTATAGTCTTCACACTGTTTTTTTAATATCCCACAAATGAATACAATAATTCTGTCCGTCCCTCTCTCTCTCTGAGTCCTTTCACTCTGCATGATATTCTCCATGCTCATCATGGAGAATATCGAGATAAAATAATTTTATGTCTTCATTTTTCTTGGTGGCTGTATAGTATTACATTATGTAGATGTACCACAGTTTCTTTATCCAGTTGTCTATTCTCAGGCTGTTTCCATATACTGGCTCTTGTGAATTATGCTGCAATAAACAAAGAAGTGTGATGGTGTTTTGCTGTGTGTTTTTGGGTTCCCACGGTATATTCATAGAAGTGGTATTGCTAGGTCGTATGGAAGTTAAATTTCTAGTTTTTTGAAAAATTCTCATATCGTTTTCAAAAAGGCTGGACTCCTTATCTTTCTTTGGAGAGTTTCGTGTTTCTTTTTTTTTCACAGCTGCATTGGACATTATTGTTGAGTTCTATCACTCGCACTCAATCTCTCTATAATGTATGTGAATTTAAGTGTTTTTAAATATTTTTCTGTTACAAATCTTGGATAAAAGTACTTTCATATTGTTGGAAATAGCTATTGAAGTAATAGTTCAAGTAGTGAATTTATTGGCAAAATTTAAAGAGCACTTGTAGTTTTGTGTAGTATTTCTAAATTTCTCTCCTGAAGGTACAACTTATTTGCATTTCTAGCAGTACTGTAAAAGAGTGACTATTTCCTGCAGCCTTACCAAGAACATACATTGCAGGTCCAGAGTGATAGTACAAGGTATAGGGTGCTTGCTTAACCTACGGCTGACCCAGGTTCCATACCTGGGACCCCATTTAGTCCCCTGAGATTGTCAGGAGTGATCTCTGAGTTCAGAGCCAGGAGTAAGCCTCGAGGACCACCTACTATGACCCCCAAAACAAAAATATGAAAAGTAATATATGTTGTGATTCCTTTTAAGTATTTTTGACATGTTTATGAGAGGTGGAATTTAAATGCATTTAAAAATATGGAATAGCAATTTTGAAATACTGCATTAAAAATACTTAATATCAGAGATGTACAGTATTTTACTTGCCATCACATCTAGAATAAAAATCCGAGTTCATGTTTTAGAGAACGATTTGGTAAATAATGTGTTTAAAGATCTATCCAGTAAGCATTACACATATCTGGGCCACAGTTTCTCTGTCACAACCATTCAACTTTGCCTAGTATCATCAGCATACTTTGATAATAGGTGAATAATCAGCTATGGTTTAGGTCTAATAAAACTTTATTAACAAAACCTAGTGCTGGGATGTGTTTGGCTCATAGATCACAGTTTGCAAACGCTTTGGTAGTAGATGCTTCTTTTTAATTTTTAATGAGATTCTTTGGTTGACAATGCTGTTAACAATGGGTTCTCATTCAGATAATTCCAGCACGACACCCATCACTAAGGTATCCACCACCATACCCACCAATTTACCAATACCCTTTCATTTCAACATTTTGGTGAGGACTTAGAGAATAGAATATTCTTATTTATTTCTTGAAACTATTTCCTGCAGCCTAGGATATTAGAAATGCAACAGACTTGAACTGATAAACAAACATTTACTTAAGAATTTGTTTATATAATAGACTTGTATAGTAAAGTTGCAGGCTATAAAATCAATACCCAAAAGTCCATGGCTTTCCTACACACAAATAGTGAAAGAGAAGAAAGTGACATGAAGCAAACAATCCCGTTCAAATTTGTACCCCAGAAAATCAAGTACCTAGAAATCAGCTTAACTGAGGAAGTAAAGGACCTGTACAAAGAAAACTACAAAACGCTACTTTAGGAAATAAAAGAGGACACCAGGAAATGGAAAAATATCCCCTGTTCATGGATCGGGAGAATTAGCATTGTCAAAATGGCAATACTTCCCAAAGCACTGTACAAATTTAATGTGAGCCCTATTAGGATACCCAAGACATTCTTCAAAGAAATGGAGCAAACACTCCTGAAATTTATAAGGAACAATAAGCCACCACGAAGAGCTAAAGCAATTCTGAGGAAAAAGAAAATGAAAGGAATCAACCTCCCAAACTTCAAACTCTACTACAAAGTAGAAATAATTAAAACAGCATGGTACTGGAACAAAGGCAGAGCTGCAGACCAATGGAACAGGGTCGAATATACTGACATCTCCCCCACCCCCCAAGTATATGATCATCTAATCTTCGATATGGGGGCAAGAAATATGAAGTGGAGCAAGGAAAGCCTCTTTAACAAATTGTGCTGGCAAAACTGGACAGCTACATGCAAAAAAGTGTGCTCAGATCTGTCCCTAACACCAAGTACAAAAGTAAGATCAAAATGGATTAAACACGTCAACATCAGACCGGAGTCCATAAGGTTCACTGAGACAAAGTTGGCAAAATGCTCCATGACATTGAAGCTAATGGTATCTTCAAAGATGTCACGCCACAGCTAAGCAAGTGAAAACAGAGATAGAGAAATGGGACTATCTTAAACTAAGAAACTTCTGCACCGCAAAAGAAACAGTGACGAAAATACAAAGACGGTCTACAGAAAGGGAAAGGATATTCGCTGAATACACATCAGACAAGGGTTGATACCAAGGATATACAAAATACTGATTGAACTCCACAAGAAGAAAACAACCAACCCCATCAAAAAAATGGGGCAAAGAAATGAACAGAAACTTTCTTCAAGAAGAAATCCGAATGCCTAAAATGAACATGAAAAAATGCTCTACATCATTATTCATCAGGGAGATGCAGATGAAAACAACAATGAGATATCATTTCACACCACAGAGACTGGCCCACATCCAAAAGAACAAAAGCAATCGGTGTTTTTCGCGGATGTGGCAATAAAGGGACTTTCCTTCACTGCTGGTTCAGCCTTTTTGGAAAACAGTATAGACAACTCTCAAAAAATTAGAAATTGAGCTCCCATTTGACCCAGCAATACCACTCCGGGGAATATATCCCAGAGAGGCATAAATGTATAGTCGAAGTGACATCTGCACTTGTTTGTTCATTGCAGCACTATTTACAATAGCTGGAATCTGGGTAAAACCTGAGTGCCCGAGAACAGATCACTTAATCACTTAATCACTTAACTTCCCGTTAGACATCGATTTGCTCGAGCGGGCGCCAGTAACGTCTCCATTTGTCCCTGTCGCGTGCTAGTGTAGCCCAACGGCATCTGTTCGCTCTAGGAACATGAAGAGCCTCAAACCGATCGTTCATGATCTTGATGAAGAAGTCTGACCATCTGGTAGGTGGGCGGCCACGCAGTCTTTTGACATCCAGTGGAATCCAGTCGGTAACAGCTCTAGTCCAGTGGTCGTTTTTAAATCTCATTGCGTGATCAGTCCATCTGATTTTTGACACCTTGGCAAACGAGACAGCGTCCCTGATTCTTGATCATCGATGGATGTCGGAACTCCAGATTCTTTCTCTCATTTGAGTGAAACGTGATATTCCAAGCATAGCTCTTTCAATTCTTCTTTGGGAGACCTGAATAGCGTTATCATCCTGTTTGCATAGGGCCCAGGTCTCTGAGGCATATGTTAATGCAGGAAGAACAGTGGAATCAAAGAGATGTGCCTGGAGTTGGAGGTTCTTCATCCTCTTAGCTATTTCTTCGACGCTCTTGAAGGCGTTCCAAGCTGCTCTCTTCTTCCTGCGCAGCTCGGGTGCCAGGTCATTTGTCATGTTGACTTATCGACCTAGGTACACATAGCTGTTGCATTTGGAGATGGTCATTCCGTTGAGAGCGAATGGGGCGTCAGGAACAAGGCTGTTTCTCATAAACACTGTCTTCGTAAGATTCAGCTATAGTCCTACCTTTCCACACTCACGGTCAAAGTCGTTCAGCATTTGTGCTGCTTGGCTGATGTTTGGTGTTATTAAAACCATGTCATCAGCAAAGCGGAGGTAGTAGTTGCCGACCATCTATCTTCACTCCCATTCCTTCCCATTCCTTCCCATTCCAGTCATCGCATGATGTTCTCAAGGGTGGCACTGAAGAGTTTCGGTGAAATGGTATCACCCTGCCGAACCCCTCTCTTGACATCAATGATTACTTCTTTGTAGAATGGTGAGATCCTGGTACTGAATCCGCAATACAGCTCACGGAGGATCTTGATGTATTGGGCTTGAATGCCCTGATTGGCTAGGGCTTCAATGACCGCTTCCGTCTCAGCAGAATCAAAGACCTTCTTTAAATCAATGAACATTAGACATAGCAGCATCTTGAACTCCCGAGAAACCTCTGTTCCTGAGAACAGATCAGTGGTTAAATTTACTTTGGTAAATCTACACAATAGAGTACTATGAAGCTGTTAGAAATGATGAAGTCATGAAATTCATTAACAAGTTGTACTACATGGAAAGTATCATGCTAAGCGAAATGAGTCAGAAAGAAAGGGACAGACATAGAAAGAATACATTCATATGGGGAACATAAATAACAAAATAGTAGATTAAGACCCAAGAATAGCCGAGATAAGTACCAGGAGGATTACTCCATGGCTTTGAGAACAGCCACACATGTTATGGGAAAAGACAGCTCAGATAGAGAAGGGAGCACCAAATAAAGGGTGTTGGGAGGTTCCTCCTCGCAGGATGGGAAATGTGTGATGAGAGTAGACTATAAACCAAACAAGATTGCCACTCAATGTCTCTCTTGCAAACCATAGCACTCAAAAGGAGAGAGATAACAAAAGGGAATTCCCTGCCAAAGAGTTAGGGTGGGATGGAGGAATGGGGGGTGGGAGAGATATTGGGACTGGTGGTGGTGGAGAATGGGCATTGGTGGAGGGATGGGTATGCAATCATTGTATAACTGAAACCCAAGCACAAAAATTTGTAAGTCTACAACTGTACCTCATGGTGATTCAAAAAATTTAAGGAAAAAGAATTTTCTTATATTTGTCAAAAATTCTGTTTCAAAGTAGATTTTTGTATATCCTTACTCTTTTTTATTGCACACAGTAAACCCTCCTTAGTATGT